GACTAAGCAGTTCCTTAGCCCAAGAGGTTCCAAGTAAAACTTGACTAAGCAGTTCCTTAGCCCAAGAGGTTCCAAGCAAAGCATCGACTAAACAGTTCTTTAGTTCCAATATTTCAGTATATAAACATGCAAAGTTTGCTCAATATCATGCTTTTCCCCCAGAAAATATAAAAAGCATTAAAAGTGGGGCCGTGAGAACTCACCTGTTTTGCGATTATCCGAATGATTCCTTAAGGACTTGCTATGCTCGCTCGCACTTCCTGATAGACCAACCAGCGCTAAATTACTTAACAGTTTCTTGCCTAAGGTAGAGCACAGTTGTTTTCAACGCCAAGCCATCAAGTGTTTTCATAAAATAAAGCCGATTTAATTATTTATTAAAGAGGAACCTTCCAAAAACCACTTAATGACATCATCAAAAGTCATCCTAAAACAATAATGACAGCCGCCAATTACCAAAATCAAGATATTTTGAGTGGGTTTAAAACTCTTTCCAAGAACTCTACAACCTTGAGCCACACGCCTCCAACACCAATTGCATGCACCAAGAATGGTAGCAATAATGGGGAGGGGTCTCAAGCTCAATATTTTCAAGAGTTTAAATTCTAACACAAAATCATCATCTTCGAACTAACTCCAGAAGACAAATAATTTCCGATTCCAACGAGTTTACAAGATGAGAAATCCGGTTTAAAGATACATGCAAGGTCTATCACCCGAAAATATGATTAGTCCTCACATACAAAGATTCTCTCCTTCTTCCTAGAGATTCAAGAACATGGGTCACAKATTATCATCTCAACGAAGACATATGCAGGTCTTTGATGAATAATCTCTCCTCTTTAAATCCCATAAATTTTACTTAAAGTATGGAGAAGGGAGACGGATAAAAAAACTTTCGGACTATTAAGAAAATAGAATAGCTCTAAAACATAACTTCTCTGAACAGAAGCTTTCGAACAAGCTCTTAAGGACAGCAAAACCTTGAGTTTTGCAATAMAATTGGAACCGGCTGGAAGGTGATGGCGTTAGAGAGAAAACATAAARCTGGAATTTGGAGAATGAAGATTTTCCAAAAGAAGAGGGGTATTTATATGGGGCTTTTTGAGAAGAAATGGGCTGGCCTCTAAAGGCCCAAACCCAAGATATTTTTATTTTTCTAAATAATAAAACCCCACTAATTTAACCAAGCAAATTAAATTGACAAAAGATTTTAAAAACTCCACCCTTTTAAAATTAATTGGCAACTAAATATAAAAGAATGGAACTTAAATATCGACTTTATTTAAATGAAACATTTCAAGACTATTTGGCATTGCGTAAACTAACTTGGTTAGCTACCCACCGAAACGTGATCTAACAAACTAATCTTGGGAATTAAGCAAGATGATCTCTAATCATCGAAGCTAAATCCTAGAAAGACTTAGTTTTCAATAAAGACCCTGAAATAAGGTACTAACCTGAAATCTCAAAATGCTGGATTGTCACATCAAGTCTGCCTACATCTCACTCCATGACTACGTTTGAGTGGGATTTACTAGGCCAGTTTAGTGTGGTTTCACATATTGGTAGTTACTAGTAGTAGTATGATTTCCTTAAAATTTATTTCTTAGTTATATATATATATATATATATATATATATATAGTGGAGGTTTACTTTGTGAACTACGTTATTTGTACAAACCATACAAACCTCAGTCAGCCAATCATAATTTTTCATTTTGTTCAGTTTTTTGTAATTATGAGAGGTTGATTAATCATTTTTATTGTGGAGGGTGTTAATCATGGATATTATCATCTTCATTATTTTAATTTTAGAGAAATACATGAAACAATTTCATTAAAATTTCATTAAGTATTATGTGAAACAATTTCATTACCATATATGAAACTTCATGGAAAAAAAATATTATATGAAACAATTTCACAAGATTAAACAATTTCATGAAAAAATTTCACGAGATTAAACAATTTCATGAAAAAATTTCATAAGATTAAACAATGAAATTGACGGATGAGTGTGGTTTGTACGGTTTGTACAAATTGGGTGGTTTGCACGGTTTATACAAATTGGGTGGTTTGCATTTGATCGCTCCTCTCTCTCTCTCTCTCTCTATATATATATATATATATAATCATGCCTTAAAAGATATCAGATTTATATTACTTCATCTCATGAACATATCACTACATATCTGATGCTAGGAAGGTTTATCACCAATAAATTTGATTGTTGAGACCGCAATGCATCGAGCATCCCCTGGAGGTACTGGAAGTGTAAAGACAATTGGAAACTATGCTGCGGTAAGCACTTAAGCTTTAGTTGCTAAGTTCTTTCTCCTTTTTTCATTTTCAATAAAATAAAAAGGAAACTTGGATGTTTTGCTATGTTTTGTAGGTTTTGAAGGCTCAAAGTGCTGCAAAAGCTAGAGGCTATTCTGATGTTTTGTATCTTGATAGTGTGCACAAGAAGTATTTGGAAGAGGTTTCTTCTTGTAATGTATTTGTTGTAAAGGTATATCATCATGTTCATCACTTTTGATTTTATTATGGGTGTCCTTGGTATCTATTTAATTTCTTTATAGCGTCTCCTATTTGTTTCTGTTCTGTGGTGCTCTCTTGGTGCAAGTTCTATGTTGTATTTTTCTTCTCCCTGTAAATTTTGCTGGTAACGCATCCCAAACTGAAAAAAGGACTCCATTTTTTATTTTGGAATTCAACCCTTTTGACTTTCAAGTTTAAAATTGCCATTGATGGCTTTACTTTTTTTATTACAGAATGTTTTAATTTCACAAAATACATTGTTGCATTTTAAATATAAGACCCTTGTATCACAAAATAAGTGTAACAACATGGAACACTTTCTTTTTGGCAAATTTCAAGTTTAAGTTAATCCTCTTGCCCATTCTTAATTATTACAAATTATATATATCCTTCATTCTTGTCTTAAAGATTCATCTATTTGTTATTATTGGAGGTATTTTTAAATATTTGACTGATAGTCAAATACTTCAATAAAATTATGTCTAACCATAAGTTGCATTGATGTTGTGGTTTTACTCTTCAAATTGTTAGGTCTTAAACTAAAAACTATCTCATTTGACACTTAAAGGTTAAATGTAGACTTCTTAATGACTGATGAAATACATGTTTGTGTCTCTTGACATGATATTTTCCACTTCTATAATTGTGGTACTTTAAAATTTATAATATTGTATCAAAATATGCTTTACAGGGCAACAATATATCTACTCCTGCCATAAAAGGAACCATCCTACCTGGTATTACACGAAAGAGTATAATTGATGTGGCTCGTAGCCAAGGATTCCAGGTATTTATATTAGCTACTGTTCATTGAAATACTACAAATAAAATTAAAATGAAATATGATTTCGTATTTGTGACAGAAGTTTTCACATTCTTGATGCCTTCTAATCATGTTTAGACAATGATCTGAAAACAATGAGTCTGAATTCATTAGGATTATAACATTATGTGTTACAGGTTTAAAAAACGGAATCGGGCCTCGAGGTGTTTTCCCCAACGCCCTGAGGTGGAAAACTAAATTAAGTAAAATATGTGTATGTATGTATTAATAGTTGTAAATTAGTTTTCAATTATTAGAAATTTCATTTTTAATATTTATTAAAAATATATAATACATATACAAACAAAGAGAACCTTACTGGATGCTCTTCAAAGTGGGAGACTGGAGAATATGAACGAGAACTACAAGCAGCAAGAGAGTAGGAGAAGATGACTTAAGAGTAGCAAGATAGGCTTATTTTCTAAAATGTAAAAATTGGTAAATCAACTTTTAAACCCTAATTTCTAACTTACGCCTCATCCCTGCCTTAGGCGCCTCGAGTCCCGCCATAGTGACCGAGGCATACGCCTCAACTAACCTAGAAGGGGTGCCACCTCAGATTCGGTTTTCCACTGCCTCACCTAGGGGCGCACCTCGGGTGCCTTTTAAAGACCATGTTGTGTTATGAGGGAAAAACTCAATATATATATCTAGTACGTCATGGTGGAATAAAAGGAAAGAAGATCAATCGTGTCAAACTAAACCATGCCTAAATCACATCCAAATGTATTAAGACTACTTAAGTTGGAGCATAAATTTCTATGTGCATATGAAATCAGTGTGAAGTTTTCATAATGGCAATGTCGGAATATTCCTGAGCTGATATGTATTCGTGATGTGCACAAGCTGAATATGGTAGAGAAAATGTAGCTCCCAGAATGCGGTCATGAATGATGAGACAAGCTACCTCTGTGTTTGGTTCCCTATCAGCAAGGGTATCATCATATGATTTCGGCCATAGCTCGATACTTGGACTCAGCAGAATACATCGCTTTTTACTCTTCATAGATGATATCTGTAGTTGATCTTTGTGTGATTGTGCCTCCTGTCAGCCTGCATAGAATAACACAATGATTTGGACATATCCCTTGTGAATGCATCAAATTTTGCAATGCCCTTGATTGGAATATAAGATACATCTCCTTTGAGGACCCTTGGATTAGTCATAAGCTGACTGACTACACTCGCATATAGTTTTGAGAAACGTTAATCATTGAAGTGGAAAAATGAAGTACAAATCTATATCAAGATATATAACGTTTGATTTAGCTGAAGTTATGTAAACCCTTTGCAAATGTTTTTTTGGGTGCTGAAGGAAGAGTCACTAACGTGTTGAATTCATAAAATTACATTTGCTTGTTTGCACATTTGCCTTGACAGAAATTATTCAAGTGTAAGAAGCGAAAGCATGGCCATTAGATCAAGTCATTTTTGTGAATGATTTTTCAATTTTAGGTGTTTGGGTAAAAAGAAATACATGCAAATAGAGGTTTTGGGCTTAAATGTTTGGAGTTGGAAAGTCGATGAGGTACAACAGAGTGGGAATTTTAAATCACAATCTAGCCACAATTCAGCTTGTGAATGATCAGAAAATCACAACATTTGCGGGTTTAGGACAGCCATACAAAATCAGAAAATTGTTCATTTTCTAAACAAATCAAAACATAATGTTCTGAAGTAGCAGAAATGAGCAGATTCAACATAATTAAGAACAGAATTACCAGACAGCAGTTCAGTAACGGATTGTAGTAACAGCAAAAATAAAAACGAAACTATTTACAGCAGAGGCGGACCTAGGAAATTTTCAATCTGTTGCACCGTTTCATCATAAGAGGGAAAGCCATAAAAGAATTCATGTAACACATGGTAGATTAATTGGTTGGTCCTTCCCTTGTAAAGGGAAGGTCAAGGGTTCGAGCCCTTTCCTTGCTGCTTTCCACCAATTTCTTTACAAAATGTATACAAGCGAAGAATTTAAAGCTAAAATTCTAAAAACTTGCTGAATGGGGGACTTGTACCCATGCCCTCTCAACCAAAAATTCTGAAAACCCTATTTCGGCGCCCAAGACCAACTCAGCCAAAAGAAACCTCGTTCATTATCTTAAATTTAATAAATATAAGGGCACACACTCAAGCAGTATAGTAGCACCGTTCAGTAATGTACACTTTTCCACTACGACAGGATTCTGAAGCGGCGGCCCATGCACCCTATGCCCCTATATAGGCCCCCTATGATGTAGATTGTTACGAGGTCTTGCTCAATAACAGTAATGCTGATCGTAAGAAGAATTCATAGCAGATTAGGGTAGCATCACCAGGTTCTCGGCAATGACCCAGATCTGGTATGGAGCAGGAGTTAACTTGAGATGCGTCTCCAAGTTTGGTATCATGCATTCATGCCTCTATTCATGATGCTACAGGTTAGGCATGTCTGGACTCTGACAATGGCTAAATTTTCAACACCTGCAGTCAAACCATGTCCATTGCTTGCATATGTGTACAATAAACTAATGGAACAGAACACCCTCACAATTTTTAGTAAAGCTTGACTCTCATTTAGGTAAGATCAACATGGGATGGACTACTAAATCAAGGAGCCTGGTAGCATATAGTTGGTGTCGAATAATCTCGATCTTGCCGTTTTGTTCTACCAATAAAGAAGATGCCTTTCGCTCGTCCTTAGACACACAAACACATGTTATAGCTGAAACTTCGATTTTTTTGTTTTATTTTGCATGGGTTTTTTCTATGGTTGAAATACAAAATCATTGAATTGGTTTTCATTGAAATATATTTTTGGACTATATTGACGTTGTATGAGGGTGTGTAAGATCCACAGGGGTGGTCCAAAGCACCTAATAAAAACCAAGGACACTGAACATCCAAGGTTTTGGTCTGGTGACTTCGTAATTTCTCAAAGCTAATTTGGTTGCATATATAATACAAATTGACTGAAACTACACGGTGCACGAAGTTTGTGGCTTGTCTCAAGCATGAAGTTAGTAGGAGTTAGCCATCTTTAACCTCACTAATTTGGTATTTTGCAGGTTGAGGAAAAAGCTGTAACAGTGGATGAGTTGCTTGATGCAGATGAAGTTTTTTGTACAGGAACCGCAGTGGTGGTATCCCCTGTTGGCAGCATAACATATCTTGGCAAAAGGTGAACCCTTGGTTACCACTTTGGAGATATACTTTTTGACTGGTATAGTCATTGAGGTTTAAATTTGAATCAATTGGAAAGGTTACTCATGCTAAGAGGAGTGTTGATGCATTAGAGAAGATTCCGTAAACAACATAGAGGAAGAATGAAGGGAATATCTTATAATTACCAGCCAAAAATATCTTTTAATGCCCAAAATGGGGAATGTTGGGGTGAACCAGAAAAGTTTGGGAATATGAATAACTCCTTTTGGTATTTTACGATCACCCTTCTATTCATTCCAAGAACTCGCAAAAGTTAAACATTGATCAACTCAGCTCATGTTTGGCAACATAAGCTAGCTTATTTTGTGCTTATTGAAAAAAGCCTCGTTTGATAAGCCAGAAGCTAGCTTTTATAAAAGTTATTTCAGATGGCTTTTTAATAAGCCTCTAGGGCCTTTTCCACTTCTTTCCTTCCAATTATGCCCCTTATATGTTAGAATTGAGTAATTTTCAAACATACCAATTTAGCTCGTCATATAGTTAATCAACTAACAACTAGCTTATTTATTGGCCGCCAACTAGCTTTTCAACTAATAACTAGCTTATAAGCAAGTTTGCCAAACATAGCCACCTGAGTGTTAACTGGTTTATACATTCTGCAAGACATTATTAATCAGCGACAACTTTGATGGTTCAATGGATTTTATCTGCATATGCAGTGTGTCTTACGGGGGCAGTGGTGTAGGGCTTGTGTCACAACAACTCTATACTGCACTGACACGTCTACAGATGGGTCTGAGCGAGGACAAGATGGGTTGGGTAATAGAAATCAAGTAGCTCCTTCTCTGTTTGGCTGTGCCTTGGTTTGTAGTATTTTGCTCTCTCAAAAGATGGTTTTTGGGTGGATGTTTTGATTGTAAAATTACACCATTCATTGTTATGCCTCGAAGAGCAAAAGAATGGTCAATGGAAACAATGACCGTGATGTTTAAAATGTGTATCTTGTTTGAAAATAGTAGGGCTAGAGTGTTGGCACTGTGGGTGTTGGAGCAAGATTCGACTAATTCCATGGGCCTTGGAGTTGACGCCTGACAAGTTACCTTGAGGGAAGTTTGTGGGCGATTTGACTACAAACACATTTGTGGGTACACTTGGCATTGCCACAGGATCTACAATTGGAACTCTGCCTCCATATTTTACAAGGCTTCTTGCAATGCCGTTAGACAATTATGGGTCTCCGATTATACATACTTAAGGGTCATGTTTACATATATTAGTTGTGTACATGTGCTGACCATCGCTTTATAACCTATTGTGGAATGAGAATTAAAAATCAATACATCTATTATTGTTGCAACAAAACCCGCACCTAGTGACGACACCAAGAGTGACAGGGGTAGTCCGCACATCTTATAGCACAAACATATGGAGAACAACGTTATAGACCATGTCTCCGAGTAGGGATGGCGACAATAAGGCATGCTCAGGTCAAGCCCGCAGTTGGGATTATGATTTGTTTATCCCCGGGATATCAGAGCGTAACCACCATAAAGGAGAAAGAAAACCCAACTAGAAACTCAAGCAGAACATCATCTAATCACCCGTTTTAGCAATCATCTCTTCATCTCTCTAAATTTTTATACTTGTTAGTGACATTTCATTGTACACGGTGATGATGCCCTTTACTTTCTACTAGTGGACATTCATTATCGAGGTATTTTCTGTCAACAATCGCTTGTTTGCTTTACATGTTATTTGATCTTTAACGTCTAATCCAAACAGAGTATGTCTTTGAGTGCCATCCAACGGTTAGACCAATCATCAACTATCTCTTTGCTTCTTGAGAAAAATCATAACAGGTGAAGCTTTCCTTTCTTGAAAGGAGGAATAGTGGCATCAAAATCTATCTCTGAGCCATCGGGGAATGAGGTTTGGCAGAATTAGCTTCATCAGCGTGTTCTTGTAACTATATACTAATATTTTCTCTGTGACTTGTTTGCATTCTGATCCATACGGTTAGATGAACTTGGCAGGGTGAACACCATTATGGAAGTTGTCTTTGAAGCTATGTCATATATCAAAAGCAATTTCTTTCACAGTCTTCTCACAAGTGCCTTCTTACAATGCTCTCTTTTGCTCTTCTTTCTTTTTCTCTTCTTTCTTTCTAATGAGCCAAAACTTGCACCCAACTCATCTACTCGAGATTTCTTCATTGGTTGTTTATTACCTTCATCATAAAGGCATTGCTTGAGTAGTTTATCTTTAGCGTTTGGGTATCGAGGATACCATCTCCGACGGTGATATCTTCTACGATCGGTCGATGCTGATATCCTCGACTATTGATTGCCCAAGTAAAGATCGTTGTAATTTCACTACACGACTCACAATAATGCTTAATTATCTTCGACAACCCTTAGCTTTTCTCATTTGTCGCAGTCCTATATGTAACTGAAGATTTGACTCACCAATGCTTCAAACCAACATTCAAGACATGACCGCTACTAAAGTTATTACAATTTAAGTCGGTTGTTACAAAGGCGGCCTATAAAAATGATCCAAGGCATCCTAAGAGACACACCAATCACAACTGAATATACCTAAAAGTCCTCTAAAAGAATATTCTGGCTATCCGAAACAATTGCTTTAGTTTATCCACGACACTTCTTTTTAACTACCTTTTGTAATAATAGTCGATGTTATTTTGGACGACGTCCCTGGTTGACATCCATCGTTTTTTATGCCACTATTCCGCGTCACCAAAATCATTTGTCTCATTTATATTTCGGTTTTCTTATGTTATTTATCGTAGTTTATTTTGAAGGCTCAACAACCTGTAGTGGTTTAAGGTCCACAATTCAAACCTCAAATTACTTGGTGTGATTTTTAGCGTATACACCTTTCTTCATAGGTCCCTTACCTTCCCTTGTTCTTTAGATAACCACAGGTGGCTTTGAAGTTGAACGCAGCCCACAACTAAGATGTCGTAAGCTTGCTTATCTTCTAGCTTTACCTCAGATGGGCCACCAATATCTTTGAATACATAGCCAATTCCATTTATAACACCCCAAGCCCAAATAACTTCTCCAGTTTTGGTGCAGAAAGCATTGACAACATCGACCAATAAGGATAAGTGTTGCTGGAAGTTAAAAGCTCTAATGTCTTCAAGTGTTGGCATTTAAGATTTTATATGTGGCTATGTTTAAGGACTCCATGTGGCATATTCCATAACACCCCACTTTCTTTTTTAAAGGAAAAAAAAAACAAACAAACCATTTTTTGCAAGGTCTTACCCGTTTCGATATATAACCAAACTTAAATAAGTAAGCTGGAAACATTTGAAACAGCGGAAATACGGTGAACGTAAAAATATATTAACATTCAAAGTGAAATATATCATGGATCATCAATTACAAAAAAAAAACCTCTCTCTTATCCTAAGCTAACTGATATAAAAAGGAAGAGAGTAGAGGTTGTGCAGACCAAAAGTTTTAGTTCTGTGTTTTTTCTAATTGACCAATTTAAGACATCATAAAGGCTATTTATGTTGGATCAAAATATAGAATTGCAAGATTGAATCAACCAAAGTTTGTTTATTTCTTGAGAAAATACACACTTGAAACTGTACAAATTGATACAAATATATAGACACTAAAGAGGTGACTTCGAACCATTGTGACTGTTCGAATGGTGGTGATCGAACCATTGTGATGGTTCGGATGTTGGTGGTTATCATCACACCTTTTCAAGTTTTCTAATTACAGATTTTACTTAAATAAAAATAATAAGAAGCTAAAACACTAAACTTTGTTTCTTCTAATTAATGTCGAGATTAACTCAACATTCACCCCCTTAATCTCGATCATTCTGAAGAAGATCCTTAACTCCAAGTAATTGTCTCACGGTGACAAATATTATTCTTGGTAGCGGTTTTGTAAGTATGTCGGCTCGTTGTAGTTCTTCACTGATATGTTCTCCGAGGGGGAGCAAGCAGAACCTTCTTCGCCATCAACGAGCCAAATGCCTAATATGCCTATGGAACATGATCAAATGTCCCCGACCTTTGTATTTGTTCCTACAACAAGATGGACAAAGGAGCATCCTCTTCAACAAATCATTGGTGAACCTTCAAGCGGTGTAAAAACAAGGGCTGCCACGACTAATGAATGTTTATTCGTAAACTTTCTAAGCATGGTAGAGTCTAAGAAAGTCCATGAAGCTCTACAAGACCCTAGTTGGGTTGACGCCATGCAAGAAGAGCTCCAATAATTTGAAATGAATAAGGTATGGACTCTTGTACCTTTGCCAAATGATAAAATTGCAATTGGCTGTAAATGGGTTTTCAGGAACAAGAAGGATGAGGATGGGATCGTTGTGAGGAATGAAGCTAGGCTCATAGCAAAAGGCTATTGCCAGGAAGAAGACATAGACTATGACGGGACCTTTGCGCCAGTAGCAAGGCTAGAAGCTATACGCTTGTTCTTAGCCTTCTATGCTCATAAAGGATTCTGATTCTATCAAATGGACGTCAAGTCAGCCTTCTTGAATGGCAAGCTGTAGGAGGAAGTCTACGTTCAACATCCTTCGGGGTTTGAAAGCTCCACACATCCAGAGTACGTCTATTTCTTGGACAAAGCTCCGTATGGACTTAAGCAAGCACCTCGAGCCTGGTATGAACCTCTCTCATCTTTTCTCTTGTCAAATGGTTTTGAAAAAGGTAAAATCGATACTACTTTGTTCATTAAGAGGTATAAAAATGAGATGCTTTTAGTACAGATCTATGTGGAAGACATTATCTTTGGTTCAAGAAACTAGAGGCACTGTGATAAGTTCTCTGTTTTGATGAAAAGCGAGTTTGAAATGAGCATGATGGGAGAATTAACATTCTTCCTCGGCTTGCAAGTAAAATAGAGGGAGGACGGTATTTTCATTAGCCAAGCTAATTATGTCTCTGACATATTAAAGAAATACCAACTCCACAACTCTTCCACAATGAGAACACCAATCGCAACGGGAACTAAGCATGACACAGATCCATCTGGAAAACCGGTGGATGTTAAGACTACCGTGGTATGATTGGATCACTGTTGTACCTCACGACTAGTAGACCAGACATCATGTTTGCTACGTGTCTCTGTGCTAGATATCAAGCAAACCCTAAGGAATCTCACCTTTCAGTTGTGAAAAGAATCTTTAGATACCTTAAAGGAACTCAATTTCTGGGTCTCTGGTACCCAAAGTATTTTGGTTTTGATCTTATTGCGTACACAGATTCTGATCATGCAGGATGCTAACTTGATCGAAAGAGTACATTAGGGAGTTGCCAATTTCTAGGAGACAAGCTCATAAGCTGGACCTCAAAGAAGCAGAACTGCGTCTCTACTTCCACAGATGAAGTAGAGTATGTAGCTGCATCCAGTTGTTGTTCCCAAGTAATATGGATGAAAACTCAGCTGAAAGACAAAATTCCAATTCTGTGTGACTCGGAAAGTGCCATCGCAATCACAGCCAATCCTGTACAACATTCTAAAACAAAGCACATCGACATACGCTACCATTTTATCAGGGACCATGTAGAGAAAGGTACGATTAAAATGTTTTTCGTTAGTACAGATTTACAACTTGCTGACATATTTACAAAGGCTCTTGATGAAAAGAGGCTTACCTTTTTGGTTAGCAAGTTGGGTATGCTAAATCTTTCCAACTAAGACAGAGCCTCTGTATGTACTATACAGAGCCTCTGCATTCCTTGTTAGCATACTTCTGTTTGTTTTAAGTCTTGATCCATGAGACAGAGCCTCTGCATAGTACATGCAGAACCTCTTGCTCAAGTCTAAGTTTGTCTTGTGATACAGAGCCTCTGTACCTTGTTCGTCATGCTTGTGCAATACTTATAATATATGATCCAAACATAATTTAAGGGGGAGCAGATCAAGTAGAGCTAAATTCGAAGGGGAACGTTAAATCATGCATCAGACAGAGCCTCTGTATGTACTATATAGAGCCTCTGCTTCAAAACTTTTATGATTATAGGACAGAGCCTCTATATGTACTATACAAAGCTTCTGCCTCTAAACATAGCAAGTTTACTAAACAGAGGACATGTATAGTCCAACCATGAGTCTTTGTATGAGAACCTAAGGTATGTTATCCTTCTTTTATGTAGTACTTTGGGTTCCTTTCAAATTCTTTAAGCAATCTAATCATAGCAACTCTGTACTCCAATGCAGAGCTTCTGTCTAATGGTTGTTATTTCAAACAAACCAGAGTATATACTCTTGTTAAATCTTTTTGAAGATTTAAAATATAT